AGAGCATACCTGATTTTTTTTTCCAAGGGGTAGCAGCTGGAAGGAGGACAAAAGGAGACTTAAGTTTTGGCAGGATTGAAAGTGCAATAGCGTTGTTAATGTGAATACTAATCATATTCCCCAGAGCCCGACAAACTGAGTCACCTCTCCAAGCTTTTTCGATCTTCGATGTAAAACAACGTGCATCACACCCACGCTTTAGGACGGCTAAAGCATGCACACTAGTGTTACAGTAAATATGCTGTACACACATACAATATGCTCTGACCAACACACACACTATTGGAAGCAGACTGAAGCCAACTCCCACCTCTCTCCACTGTGAAATGGTTAAGATCCCGTCAGCAGGGGAGTGAGGACAAAGGAGACAAAGAAAAGCAGAGTTAGTGGTTAACCGAGTGAACAGGCAGGAGGAAAGTCGAGGAATTAAAGGTGACCCTTAGCATTCGCTGGTTTGAGTGAGTTTGTGTATGCGTGTGCATGTGTGTGTGGGGGGGGCTCATCTGCGCTACTCATACTCGAGCAGTTATATTTCATAATGTGTGGTTTATTGAGCTTGATTAAACAGCAATTAAATCTAATGCACAATGGTTAAACCAGCTATGAAGGGTTTCTGTGCTTGTGTTTGTTTCATCTCTCACAAAATCTACGCTCAAATCATCCACACATCTTTTCAAAATAAGACACATTTTTATTGAAACAAGTGTCCAAACATATTTAAACAAAGCTCGAATGTAATTACTGTCAAGAAAACAACCATTTGTTGAATAAAGTGCACTGCAGGATCACTCCGGTTTTAATGCCCTTGTTATCTTGCAGCATGACTTCTAGCTGAACCGGGACACTGCACCAATGACAGGGGTGAGATAGTTTAATAAGCATCACAGCTAAATGAATTCTAATGCATTAGAGTAAGCATATGGCAGCGGCTGACATGGCTTCATCACACATTGTGCTCCTCTCACCTTGATTTAGTAGAGGAGGCACAAGCAACCAGATTCAAGTGCAAATGAAGAAACCAGATCTCAACTTTGGTTATTAAAGGACAAATGCACTTTATATTGAGTCAGACTTTAGATAAAGTAACCCCAAAGATGGCGGTTGTCCCACCTCTGCCCTTAGAATAAGCCAATAAAATAGTCGAGCTGGGACACAACTATGGTATTCATTTTGTTACACTGACACATGCAGACAGCAGAGGTGCACGGCAGATTTAGTTGCCTCGCATAAGGTACAGCTCCTTGTTTTTAAAGCAAAGATGTCGTAAATGCACTTTTTGACATTGTTCTTGGCTTACTATATCTATAACTTGAGTGCTCTGCTGTTGGTGAAGTCATAATATCGTGCAACTTTTCTACAGAAGTATAATATTTTGGGGCAAAGTTTTCAAGCCTGAACCTAAACTTCTTTTTTTCATCAAATTTCATGCAGTTTTTATGTCCCGGTGGCCAATGGTGTTATAGTTATGGATACATTCTCACTTAATTAATACAGGAGTTTCAGAATAGTTGCCCAGAGACATTTAAAAAACCACTCCAAAGTGGAAAGACTTTCTTCTGCCCTGGCTGGGCACAAAGTTTTCAGGCCAAAAACCCGGTATGATCATATGATAACAGTATATAAGGCCTGACAGATTTTTCTTGTTTTAAATTAACACATAAATAGATAATATCGATGCAGATACCTTGTTAGGAATTGTGAAAAAGATGTACAATAGAGTGGTCACAAATTATGCAGCATATGCTTCTATGTTTCTTAGGCTTAGTTTGGCTCCTCCCTCATTCATAAGGGGTCGCCACATTTGGTAGCTCAGCATATTTTTATACAGAATCCACTTCCTGATGCAACCCCAAACGGATTTGGAGTTGCATCAGGAAGGGAATCCTTCACTTG